CTCTCTCTCTCTCTCTCTCTCTCTCTCTCTCTCTCTCTCTCTCTCTCTCTCTCTCTCTCTCTCTCTCTCTCTCTACTATTTTTCTTTCTGTGGATCAGCTGATCAACTTGTCGATCTGTCTGTCTGTTTTCACCTCTGTGTCTCCGTCCATCTGTGTGTCAGGTTGTTCAGCTTGTTCAGCTCTCCCCATCTATCTTGTCTGTCTGCTGGCACATCCGTGTTCATCACTGTGTCAATGGTACTCAATCTTAAGACTATGGCAACCTTCTACCAAAGATTGACCAAGTGTACACTGCCAGTGAACTGAACAATAGCGAAATGACAGAAATCCAGAATGCAAAATCACACTGAAAGCCAAAAAGTCCAACGCTGTCCAGAAAGCAGAAATGCACTAATATATCACCAACGGAGAACCAAAGCACCGAATCTGAATGTCAATGAGAGCATACTCTCGCCACCACCAACATATGTATCCAGAGCCCTTCCTCCTACTTGGCGCTCAGCGCCCAGACTACGATCACGCAGCTACTACCAGCCTACGAATTGACAATGCAACCTGTTGACGTCAGCAGCAGAACCGAAGTACATGAAGTTGTCGACCCTTGTAGACCATCGCCAAGACCAGGTATGTTCCCTCATATCATCAACCCCATCTCGCTCTCTCTCACCCGTGACTTCATCACCCACGTGACCACCACCACCTCCACTGGCTATCCAAGCCAAGCCCCGGCTACATGGGGCTGGCTATGGCGCTGCCCTCAGCTGCACCCTGCCTTCTTGCGCGACCGCACGCGCGTGCACACTTGCCCATGCGCTAACGCAGCAGCCTGCAAGCGCTAGCTCAAGCAGCGCTGCCGCATCTGCACACAAGTGCCCGGCCCCCGACACGGAGCCCGCCCCTTCCTATATGGAAGGTGGTGGGCGCTTTCCACTTGCTTCCCCCGTGAGGCCGAGTTTCCAGTAGCTTCAGTCTCGGCCAAAGTGTCTGCGCCCAGGCCCGTTCAGACAGTGGCCTGGGACCGAATTGGTTAGGCATGCCCAACCATCCAGGCACAAACGTGTGGTGCTCCCTGCTTCGACCACGTTGCTGGACGAGCCTGGAAGGCTCACAAATATTTTTGGATTCTCACGAGCAAGGCGGATGTAACCAACTGGCGCGTGGCGACTGTCTGGCGCCCAACAAGATTTGCAAAATTTGACGAACTCAGGCCACATTGAGATTCAGGGGGGGCCCGCCTTCACTTAGGGCGGACACGCGCCTGCTGCAGGGCCTTCTGCCGAGGGGTAAACCCTCGCACTACCCTCTTCTTTTTGTTGCGTGCGTGCTGGATTCGGGTCGAAGTTTTGGTGAGGGGCAGCGGATGAAGGCGATCGAGGGCGAGGGAGTGTGCAAAGGGCCGCGCGTACCGAAGTGTTCACAGCGTGCCACTAAACGAGAGCGCGCGGCCCGGGGGCGGGGCACACGGCCAGCGTTGACGCTGACGAACATCTCGGAGGTGAGCCATCCGATATGCGGGCGGCGTTTCTTTTTCTTTTGTTTTCATTTCATTCGCGTTGTTTCTTCTGTTTTTCTTTTTTTGTTTCATTTTTCGCATGTCGTTTTGCGTTTTTTTTTTTTTTTTTTCGTTTTCATTTCTCGCGCGTCGTTTTGCGTACCTGTTTTCCTTTTCATATGTGTGTGTTCTGGTTCCTTGAACAATTAGCTGCAGCAACCCTTTTTCACCCGATGCGAAATGTTAAATGGTCATGATGTTCTGGTAGACCCACCTGTTTGCCTTCTTCCAGCACACTTGCACCCTATAGTTTGTCAGAAGTTGCAAATCCCATGACAAACTCATTCCAGGGACCGTAGCCTGTCGTGAAAGGAGATCACTGATTCTCATGCATGTCCATTCAGCAGTTCTGCACACGGAGGAGAAGAGGGGAGCGAACGAAAAGGATGGGAGGGGATCAAGATGGAAGAGAAGGGGAGAGAATGGAGATGGAAAAGGAGCCCCCCCCAGGATCTGATGGAATACTCACCGTCAGAACAGAGTCAGACTGCCAGAGACTGTTACGAAAGACAGTGGACACTCCGTGGTCGGTTTGTACAGAAAAACGGATGGAGCAGCAGCTGTTTTCTATGGTGCGGGGCCACCGCCACAGCACGGGAAGGAGTGGTTCAGGTGTGTCCTGAGGGAGCACTGTGTCCATTCCTCACAGTTACAGCCACTTTGTCACGTGGCGTGGTCCAGATAAGTGTCACAGTTAAAACATGCCTTCCACATGCTAGGACCTCCACGTAGGAGGCCCTGAATAGGCAGTTACGTAGGCACGGCAATTCCAGCCCCTGTCTACAGACAGGACATGCCATAAGAGGGAAACTTTCATCAGAAGTGTGGAAACAAAACGGGAAACTTTGATCAGAAGTGTGGAAACAAAGGCTCCCATGGACCAGACCCTCATAATGCTCACAACACAGGGAATGCTGATCAGTTGTCATCTGATTATCAGCCGGGTCATCGTAGGGCGGCGGTAAGCATGGAGTTTCTCGGGCTTGTACTCGTGCTACGAACGTAGCCTCTGTCGACAAGTGATGACGAGGTTGGATCCGGGGGAAAAAAAAAAAGGGATGTTCAGCTGTTGCAAAATCTTGATCTTGCACTGGGGGTGATAACCTTTTAGTATGCTGCACTGCAGGTTGTTCATGTGCGGCAGTTATAAGTCAGTATGTGTTGTCAGAAATGAAAATGAAAATGAACCCTCACATCTTCCAGGCGCACATCTCCATTCCATTCTAACTTCTTCCAAGTAAAAAAAAATAGTAAATATAATATCAATTTATCAAAAGAAAATGCAAGTTCCTCCACGCCCGTGTGGTTGAGCTGCGAGTGTCCGCACATCTCTCTCCTTGACGCGAACTAGCAGAAACGCCATTGCGGAGGGTGGCCCGTGCGTGGTGAGCAAAGCACCACCTCAAGGCGCAGTCTCTGCGCCAACGTAGGCCATTATGCACAGCAGTGTGCACCAATCTTCTGCACAAGAGAATAACGACACACGTAAATTGAGAAATGGCCCAAAATTTTAATAATAAGAAAAGGAACAAAAAAGAGCATATCACATCCATGAAGCTGATGATCATAGCATACATCAAATTTCAGAATCTCTGCACCCTTTACAGCTCTATCACCCAACCAGCCTAACTTGACACTTGCGCACTCGCACAACCAAGCCCTCATTGTACCCAAACGAGAGCGTGCAACATCCACGCATCACTGGAAACCCTACTGCCAACGAGAATTTCACCCATAGTACACACTCTTTGAGCCGGTCTACGGGTGCCACATGACAACAGAAAATAACATGGACCTCGGTTCAGGGCCCGGAGTCAGAACCCTCATGCCACACAACGTCAGGAGCTTTACCCTC